TCTATTCTATTCTATTCTATTCTATTCTATTCTATTCTATTCTATTCGTTAATTCCTATTCTATCCCATCCCGTTCTATCCTGCCATGGTGGCACCGTGTTAGAACGCAGTATTGGAGCCTGACTCTGCCCATTGCCAGCAGTTCGATCCTGACTTGGTCAAGGTTGACTCAGGCTTCCATCCTTCCAAAGTCGGTAAAATGAAGACCCAGATTGTTGGGGGGGTGGGGGCAAGAAGCTGACTCTGTAAACTGCACAGAGGGGGTGTAAAAACACTGCAAGGCAGTGTATGCGTCTACGAGCTATTGCTATGTACATCTGTCTGTATATCTATCAGCTATCTAGCTATCTCCATTGGTCTCTGTCTCTCCATCTCCTATCTATCCATCTATCTATCATCTATCTATTTATCTATCTTTCCTGCCTGAGCAGGGGGTTGGACTAGAAGACCTCCAAAGTCCCTTCCAACTCTATTGTTCTATTCTATTCTTAATCCCAATATTCTATTCTTTATTCTCCTATTCTATTAGTTCCTATTCTATTCCATCCTTTAATTCTTATTATATTCTATCCCGTCCCATCCCGTTCTATTCTGCCATGTTGGCAGCGTGTTAGAATGCAGTGTTTTTAGGCTGATTCTGCCAACAGTTCGATTCTGACTGGCTCAAGGTTGACTCAGCCTTCCGCCTTTCTGAAGTCACTAAAATGAGGGGCCCGATTGTTTAGGGGCAGGAAGATGACTCTGTAAAGCGCTCAGAGAGAGTTGGAAACCACCACAAAGTGGTATATCTGTCTAAGTGCTTTTGCTATAACGTGAGGTGTTGTTGTTTTTTTTTAAAAAAATGTCAACCGATGGTTGTGTATCTCCAGCCTCCGTGCTAGGGGGGGAGATAAAATTCCCCCACTCATCAACAACGTGCTCTGAGCAGCCCAGGCGCCTGACCTCTGCCTGAGATTTCCTCGTGCTCCTTTTGCGCAAAACCTTGAGAAAGAAATTTCCTCCAGAGGAGAATCTGCTTAGGGAAGCCAAACGCCTCCACTCAGGAGAAAGCTGGCAGCCTTTGTGGCACCACGAAAGGAGGAAGATAACAAGCTCTACTTGACAACCGTGATGGAATGTTTGGATTCCATCGGCAGCTAAATCACATTTTGCTGCTGGAGTAAATTGACTGGTTTGGGGCTGCGTTGAGAAACACGAGGAATAGAACGGAATGGAATAGAACTAGAATAGAATTAGAATTAGAATGCAATAGTGGAGAGGAGAGTAGAATAGACTAGGAATAAAGAGTAGAGTAGAATAAAAGTAGAGTAGAGTGTAGAGTAGAATAGAGTTGAATAGGAATCGAGTAGAATAGGAGGAGAGGAGAGTGTAGAATAGAATAGAGTGGAATAGAGAATAGGAATAGAGTGGAGTAGAG